TGGCACAGGTTTGCCTCTGAATTGTTTCTCATTAAACTTATGGTCGGGAAATAGTGAAATCCACAGGATGCTGCTGCTGTTTGGGCAGTTTGAAAGGTTAAAACATATTGGTGACTTAGTGGTTAAGAGCACTAGCTACTCTTCCAAGGACCTGGGTTCAATTCCAAATCCATATCATGGCTCACAACCATTTGTAACTCTAGTTTCAGAGAATCCAACCTTCTCTTCTGGCCTCCAAAGGCACTAGGTATGCAGGTGGTACGTAGACATACAAGCAGACCAAACACTTAAGCACACAAAAATAAATAAAACATTTAGTTCATATTGAAATTTTTTTTTATTTTTAATATGTTCAAAACACAAGGAGTTATGGGCAGTTACTTGAAAGTACCAAACCCACCTGTAAAGAGTAGACTTAAACACCCACTAGCAAAACTAGCAGCTGAGTCCTACTAGGTTCTGACTTACCAATATAGTTTTATTTTTTTTCAGATCTTTACTCATTATTCAGAAACCATACAATGGGGTCTGAGGAAATGGCTGATTGTATTAAGACACTTGTCACTAAGCCTAATGGCCTGAGTTCAATCTTGAGTCTTCAGGGTCCACCTGTAGGAGAGAATTGACTCTCGTGCGTTGTCCTCTTACTCCACATGTCATGGTGCATGCACACAAATGAACACACACACACATGCTATAAAACATGGCGGGGGCAGTTTACAGTCACTACCCTAGTTTGGCTTCCTATTGCTGTGATAAAGACTGACTAAAACTAACCTGGGGAAGAAAGGGTTTATTTCATCCTGTGACTCCTAGGTCATAATTTATCACTGAGGGAAGTCCGGGCACCTGGGCGGGAACTAAAGCAGAAGTCTGGCAAGAATGCTCCTGACGTGCTCCTCGTGGCTTGCTCAAGGGTGGCACCACCCACACTGTTCTGAGCAGCCCTCCTGGATCAATCACTGATGAGAAAAAATGCCCCACAGACTTGCCTACAGGGCAGTGTGATGAGGCATCTTTTTCAGTTTAAGGTTCCTCTTCCCACATGACCTGAGCTTGTGTCAGATTCACAGGAACTAAGCGGTGCAGTTAACCTGAGGCTGAAGCTTAGTGGTACAGTGTGAGTTTAATTTGTGTGAGTTTTATCTTCAGCATGGCAAAAAGAAGAGAAAAAATAAAATAGGGAAAGGGGTAGAGAGGAAAAACTAAAGAACAAACTGTCTCAGAGTAGTATCAGTCCTACAAATCACTTGGAAAGTTAAAAAGTTGTTAACCTCTGGACTCAGGTGTACTGGTCAGGAAATCTACCTGTCTCATGAATAAAGTTTCTTGTTATTTGATTAAAGGAGACTCACTGGCTATGTGAAATATATGGTCATATGATTAACATTGACCCTTATTTACAGAGAGAAAACGGTTGGAAGCCAAGCAACGGGAAGACATCTGGGAAGGCAGAGGCCAATTTGCAGTTTGAACATCACTTACTGAATTAGGAAATGTGCTCATATTCTTGAGACAAGAAGATCCTTCCAGAGCTGTGTCCATGCAGATGAGCATGTTAAAGAAACGTGAACAAAAGACTGGAGGGCATAGCAAGAACAAGGAGTCCTGTCCTCACCCTAAAGTCAAACTGTCCTCCTGTGGTAGATGTTAAAAGGAACCATCAAGAGAGAAGAAAAATGGAGCACGTGACTTCTGAGAGTCCTCTGGGTAGAAGAGGTCGTGTTAGTGTGGGTCACACTTCCAGGAAGTCTAAAGCAAGTACAAAGCAGAACAAGATCCAAGCCTGCAGTGGTAGGAGTCGGAGACCCACGTGGCAGGGTATTCCTTAGTACTTGATGAGGTTGAGAACAGCAGAGGGGGTGGCGGGAAGCTGTTCACAGAGACGGAGGTGCCTGATGTGCTCGATGTGCTCGGCAGATAATCTACACTGCTGGCTCTGGACTCTAAAGCCAGTGAAGCACAGCACATGTGGGCGTTTGGACTTCTGAGCTGTACTAGGCTTGGTGCCTGATACTGCTCCAGCTGCATAGCAGCCAGCGGTCTCTCCCTCCTTCCTCACAGTAAGCTGGTCCTAGGGAGCTGAGTGCCAGCTCTAATTTAAGCAGTAATATGTTGTGAGAAGGTGAGATTAAAGACTATTTTACAATATTAATCATTCTGGTGTTTATGAGTTTGCTCCCCACCACCACGACCCAAAACCCAACAACAGAAGAAGAAAAAAGAAAATCTGAGATGAGCTCTCTAATCTTCATGTCTGCTGCCATTCGTGGTCTAAACAGGTGCTGCTTTTATCAACCCCTGGAGATAGAGCGTGCGCCCCATCTTTTGTGCCCCAGAGTGTGCTCCCAAGAGACCGTTCTGGCATTTCTGTGTAGCAGCCTCTCTTGTGTTGACCTCCTTATCTTCCCTCCAACCTCTTGCCTTTTCCATAGCCGTCAACTCTGACATCCTGCAGGAAGCGTTGGCACCCAGCATGTTCTTGGTACAGTCTTAGCCTGCGCCGGAGGCACTTGGCAAGCAGCACCAAACCATCCAGTGCAGCAATGAGCTACCAGGCTGAAATAAACACCTCTAGACCGTGAGCAGTTCCCAGAAGGACATGAACGGGTCAGCGCCACCAGCTCAGACCTTTTGTCTCGCATCTGCCTTCTTCATAGTTTGGAGGGGAGTTCTGGGCTGAAGAAATGGTAGTGCTAGTCTTTGGAGTGCTGAGGAGGCGGGATGTGGTGTCACACTGAAGCCTCTTATGCCCATGACAATGATGGGTTATTAGCTTTGTGTAGAACATGGTAGGATGGGGCTCTTCAAATATTCCTCAAATGACACTGGCCTTGGGTCTGAGTCTTGACCTATCCTGTCACAATTCTTTAGCATTGTCTCTCTTGTTCCAGCTTTCCTTTTCCAGTGGCCCTATACAGTGAATGCCGCCATTCCCTATGTGGGGAAATACGTTGTTGTGTTGGTCCTCTATTTCCACTTAAGTCTTTGACTTGTACCTGTAGGGCTCGTGCTCTGTCTTCATAGAACAGACCTATCTAATATCGGTACGTCTGTTTGAACAGAGGGTACATTGAAAGAAAATGCCAAGGATACTATCATTGACTTATTAATTTATTTGTATAGGTGTTTTGTCTGCATGTCTGTGAATGCCTGGTTAACTGTGGAGGCCAGAAGAGTGTGTCAGATCTCCTGGAACTGGAATTACAGATGGTCATGAACCACCATTGTACCTGGGTCCTCTGGAAGAGCCAGGCTCTTAACTGCTAAGCCATCACTCCGGCCCCAACATTGCTTTCTACTTCTAAGGCTCATACTTAGCATGTTTTGGCACCCTGCCCCATGTTAGATAGCAGACCTCCAGCCACACATGTGCTGAACATGGACCTCTGAGCTATACTCTCAGGCTGTGTTTGGACATTTGTCTGTGAAAGTACTTCTTGTTCACTGTTTAGTGCCCTTTAAAGCATTGTTAATGATATGTACAGCCCCATGTGTAATACCGAGGTTTTAAATAAGTCTCATCATTTCCAAAACAATTGTTTTCTCATCAAGTATCCTAGCAACCTATCTTCCATCTGATGATCAGCTACTTTTAACTCTCAGGGTTCTTCCTATAGTCAGTCTCAGAGAATAAATTTTTTAAATCAACATTTGAAAGTTATGTGACATTACTGTTTTACTTCTGATTAAAATGTACTTTTGCTTACATTTTTCCAGTGGTTGGGGTTGCTGTGTATTGGCCAGTGGTAAGAAGTCCCGGGTGTGGCCTAGGACAGACTGCCTTGAGCTTGTGCGTGGAGGATCAAACCCCTGGTCATGTCTAAGCTGAGCTCTCTCAGAGCAGTGGAGAGTGTGTGCCGCCACTGTCTCACGGACCAGACCGCTCTAAAATCAGCAGAGCTATTTGAATGGGGTGGCTGCTGTGAAGGAAATGTTAGCTATTAGGGATGGCATCTCACGATCTCTGCTGTACATGTATGTTTTGTGTACGGTGAACATCTAAATCTCAGGGTTACGTATAATTTACATGAGAAAGTTACAGTTCCTGTGGATTCTAGTTTTCCCTCCCTACCGCGAAGGCCTTTGTGACATTAGGAGGTTAGTCTCTGAGGAGGGAGCTTCCTAGCCAAGGTGAACATCTTCTGAGGCTTTGGTTCTGTCTGGAATGTGGCGGTTGGTATTCTGTTCGCATTCCTCATCTAGTTATGTTATGCCAGCCGGAGGCCTTTCTGTGTCTTTCTCTTTCAGCCCACAAGTTTAACAGCCCAGCCCTTGTATCACTTTTTCCAGGAATTAGAACCGGCTGCACCTACCAGCCGTGTGATGTGGGCAGGGAGGCTGAGGCCCGTGCTGCTGGTTACTATCCGCCCGGCCTGCTTTTTCTGGCCTCTTAGAAACTAGATCTAACAAGAAGCCGAGGGTAAGCTCCCTGCCCAAATCTAGTCATCAGTCTCCACTCCCACCCCAACTCCCAGCTAGCCGCACATTCTTTCTCAGACCATTAGCTTCATGTGTGAGTATAATGTTGTCACTGTTTGCTGGACCCGACAGGAAATCAGTCCTTCCCTTGTTTACCTAAACTAAACTACTACACCAAAATAGGCTTCCTCGGCCAGATGAAGGAGACGAGGAATGGAAGAAATGGAGAAGGGAGCTTTGTATTCACAGCCCTGAAACATGTCCCTGTTCACTATCGGGGTAGCTTATGTATTGTGGGGCGGGGCATCTTGTAAATCAGCTCTGTCTGCTCCCATTCATTTGGTTTTGTAGCCTCTATTATAAAAGTTTACGGTCTTTGGATTATACCTTCTTACTCCTCCCCATCACCTCTCAACCTTTCTGACCCCAGTTTCAGTTGAGCCTGGGGTAGAGGGTGGTAACTGTAAAGCAGATTGGTGTCCGACTCTGGAAACAGCCCGGTCCAGCTCTGGAGGGAAGAGGGCAGAGTGCAGGGCACTGGAAGCTGCAGGAGCACAACTGGGCTAGTCTTTATAATGAGAAAACTTTATTGGCATTAGAAAGACCTAGAAGGATCATCTGTGCGCATGTCAGTAGAGAAAAGGTCCAGACATGCCCTAGAAGACCCTGGGGTCTTATATCACCTGAGCAAGAATGGAGCACAGCCACCTCACATGTGGTCGGTGGCCTTTCCCAGGCTCGGCCCTTGACTAAATTAAGAGTTCTTGCTTCTGATTTCCCCAGTCTTCTTTTCCTAACTCTACCAGACCTGTCTTTTGTATTCCTGCAGAGTGACTTGATTGACACTTTCTTCCCAATTGCAAAAGTTTGTTTAAGGTGAAGTGGCCTTGGTTAAATCTGAAATTTAGGCTAACCCTGTGATGTGAGTGATCCTAACAGACAGGACTGCCTGCCAGATGTGGAACATGCTGCTGGCTCCTTTGGCAGAGGCCCTGACAGAGACAGAGTTTATGTGACCTCAGCTGTCTTCTTGATCTCTCGCTGCTCTGCAGGAAAAGCCCTGTCTTGCCATTCCTGTGAGACTTGCCTCCCACCTCAGCTCCAGTAATGAGGGGTGGTTGATCCATCAGGAAATGGAGGGAGGCCTGAGGGTTCAGGGGTATTAGAGACACCTGGTGTGGGACAGAATGAAGAAGAGGCTTCAGAGGTTGAGGTGTGAATAAGTGGGAATAAGGTGGGGGACTGCATTCACCAACTTCTCTGCCAGGTGTGACTTTGACACCGTTATTTGCACAGAGTTCGTTACAGAGAGCTGACACAACTTCTTGTGTTCTTTGGTCCTCTGTCCTCCAAGACATCTAAGTGGTCCTCAGAGCACCCTCAGATGGGGCCTTGGCCACAGTTCATCCCTACGGAACTTAGAGCTCCTGAAACTGAGAACTGTGCATCAAGTTTTAAAACAGATTGAGTCTCCTTAAGGAAGAGAAGGCTTAGCTGGCCAAAGCTTCAAGGCCATGCTATATAGGCCATAGGCACTAGGAAGAGGCTTAGAGCCATCCTGAGAGTGCTGCCATCCAGGGTGGTGATCTGGCCATCAAAAGGCTTCCTGAGCAGGTTCTCGGTGCTCCTTGTCACTGGCCCCTTGTCCTGTGCGCCGGGGCTCTGTGAAGGGCACGGCTCCCGTAAGCTGAGGTATCTGGTGTGTAGCTGAGCTGGGACTGCAGTACTGGCTTCAGATCAGGTTGTTCCTGAGTCGCTGTTCCTGCTCCAGGGAGAGCTCTGCATTGGGTCGGTAGGAATCTCCTGGGGGCCAAAGGAAAATAGCTAAATAGCCAAACCCACAGCAGCCCCTTTCCATCCGGCCAGTCATGGGCACAGACACGGTCTATCGAGTGGGAAGGGCTAGCTAGTGCTTTGTTCCCTCTCCAGGTTCATTCCATGCCCTGGGAACTGGCCACCCTACTTGCCTTGTCCCTGGAAACTCAACAGCAACAGGAGGTTGGGAGTGGGTGGAGAGGCCCGCCACCTCCTCTGCTGTGGGTCTGGAGTGGCAGGGATTGCCTGGGACTATAACTCCAACCTGCTTCACATTCCCCAATGGTGCTAGCTGTTGCCTGGCTCCAAGATGCTCCTTCCCCCTGCAAGCTTACAGGGGATAGTAGTTTTCTATTCCTTTATCCCTGGGCTCAGCGTCACTTGCTTCCTAGTCCTCTAAAGTGCTCCTGTCACATAGCTTCAGGTGCATTGCAGTGAGCTCTCACGTTTGTGTGAGGACTCTGTTGGGCTCTACCTCCTGGCATTGTTTTTCTGTTCTTCATCACTGCCCTGGTTCCCTGGCAGGCCAAATATAGAGGCTCTGTTGTCTCAGTTCCTTTCACATTCTTGTCAGCAGAGTTTACTCAGTTACCCAGATGTGAAGCTTAAATGCTCCTTCTCATTCTCCCCCAGAGAGTTACTTTGAAAACAAATGAGACCAGGGCTGTAGCTCAGTGATAGGATGCCTGCCTAGCCCATGGAATACGCGCCTATGTGAACTCAATACCATGGAAGAAATTTGAAAACAAACATTGTTCCTTGACTGGAATTTGTCAGTGTGGTTCCTAGAAGCCCATGGCATGTAGGCATCAGTGTCCCTGTTTCAGAGATGGAAAAACCAGGAATTGCTCCCTGTCGCTGAATCAAGACCCCAACCCTGGTGCCTTGTTATCCCAGGGCCTTGGAATCCCAGGGAATGCTTCATCACAGCACAGCCTCCTGTAGCCCCTCCCTGGAGAGCACTTCAGTGATCTGTTTCTAGAAAAGAAAACTACCCAGGCAGAGCATCACGTGCCTGTCCTCAGTAATGCCTAGACCCAGGAGACTGAGGCAGAGAATGCTCCAAGTTCAAGGCCAGCCTGAACTGCATACCAATACTTTTCAAACAACAAAATTTTTTAATTTTAAAGGAAAAAAATCTGTAGCTGGAGGAATAGCTCATCAGTAAAGTGTGTACACTGCTCTTGAGATCCTGATGTTGGCTCCCAGCACCACACTGCAGGGCTTACAATGGCCTGTAACTCCAGTTCAGGGCAATCCAATGCCTCGAGGCTCCATGGGCACTTTGCACTTGTGCATATACCTTCAACCACACACACAAAGTATGAAGAAGGAGGAGGAGGAGGAGGAGAAGAAGAGGAGGAGAAGAAGAAGAGAAGAAGAAGAAGAGGAGGAGGAGGAGGAGGAGGAGGAGGAGGAGAAGAAGAAGAAGAAGAAGAAGAAGAAGAAGAAGAAGAAGAAGAAGAAGAAGAAGAAGAAACCCTCAGGTTGCAATTTCCTGTCTTAAAGAGTGGTGTAGTGGGCCGGGTTTAGAAGACAGTCACATAGGATGCTCTTTGTCTTCTCTAACTCCCCCTCTTCCAGAACCCCACTCAAATGCCTCTTCCTGACATCTAGCCTCCAGGTTTTGCTTGCTTCCCAGCTACTTTATACCCTTTGGGGGAGGCTCACCATATTAGGGTTATCTGTTTGTATGCCTGTACCCCCTCTGCTGATTCTACTGTCTGAGCCTGATCAACACAGTTAGGGTCTCCAAACATTGACAGAAAGGCCAGCTCCACACACACACCCTTAGCAAGTCTAGACACTGCTCAACTATAGGATGAAGGATTCTGTACAAAAGGCAGCTGCTTCCTTCCTCTGCCCAGCTTATAGCTAGAGGGAACAGTAGAGACCAAGGGGAACTTTCCCTGAGAAGGCAGCAGTTCCGGAAAACTACAGGAAAGAGGGCACGGATGACAGGAAAAGCATTTTTTTTTTTTTTGAGACAAGGTTTCTCTACATACTCTGGCTGTCCTATGTAGACCAGGCTGGCCTTAACTCAGTGGTCTGCCTGCCTCAGCCTCCCAAATCCTGGGATTAAAGGGATGTACTACCACACCCTGCCAGGAAAAGAAAATCTTGCTGTGGCTTGAGAGGATAGGAAAGATTCTGAGACTGGAAATTCACTTTACAGTCAGTCATTCATAACGGGGAGTAGTCGCTGGGTGGAGAGGTTGACGGTCCGACCAATGTCATCCCATCCATAGCCATCTGTGCATACCACAAGTAACATCCAGGTACCTAGAAAGTTTCCCAGCTCCCTCCTTCGTAAGCCGTCGTCACCACGGCTGAGTTACCTGTATGGCAGTTGTGCAGCCAGACTCGCTGCCCATCATACTTGCAGCGGCAGCGCACCATGTTGTTGGAGAAATCGGACTCCGCCACATCATTTGTGGGGTTCACAACCACCTGCAGGGGAAGGGACAGCAAGGTAGGTGATGTGCTTTCTGAGTGAGTTGATGTGGAGGGTTCTTTACACCTTGCCTACTATTTTACAGAGCTGCCTTTCTGTACCCCGATGTGCTGGTCCATAGTCACCCTCAGGAAGTGCACATCAGCGTCCTCTTCCAAGATGAGGACTAGGAATTGCCCAGTGTCCACTGAATAGAGACCCAAGCCCAGAGCTTCGGCATTCCCATGAGGGCTCATCCCCTACAACACAGCTCCTCAAAGGGACAGATCTGCTGGATCCCACGGGAAACCACCTTCCTCTGAGCCCGGAGCATCTGTAGCTGCTGGGAATTGACCTTACCTGGAAGATGTAGTCCCCTGGACGAACATCTGTGATATCCACCCACTGGCAATCGATGTCATGCCGGTATGTGTCCCAGCAGCCTACAGCCACTCCCTGTTCCCCAAAGTTGGCACACGCATAACGCCGCTGCACTCCTGTAAGGGTGAGTACGTAATTATGGCATCAAGAAGGCACGTGTGACCAGGCACTGCGTGGTCCTCCGTAGGCTTCAGCAGTTAGTCTTCACACTGGACTTGTGCCAGGTGCATGAGTTTGGGGGCTATGGTTCAGTTAAATGACTTGCCCGAGTATAGAATCATGTTAGCTGAATTTGGCGCGGGCAAACTACATCTGTGACGAGGACAGTGACGCTTTGGATGCTCTAGTAAAACTCTCTGTTGGCCTAAGAAGTGTGGGTTTTGATTCCGTCCACCAGTCCTCAGAAGGTCTGGTGTTTACCTGGTTACATTACTAAGAGATCAGACTGTGGGGTACAAGCAGGAAATAACACATTCCCTGCCCTCCGAGAGCTGCTGAACGTGTTGAGTCTTTTAAGGTGGTACAGAGTGCTGAGAATTGAGAGGAAATGAGAACTTTCCGCTGAAGGTTTCAGAAGGCAGAAATTGAAGTTTCTGAATTGCCCTGAGTGCTATTGCCAAGCTGTACTCTTCAGAAGCCTGGGGCTAGTGAGCAGGGAAGAGAGGAGCTTGACCCCAAAGGTACTTGAGAGATCTGTTAAGAGTGCCGCGGGAGGCTACGTGAATAGGAACCCACAAACCTGTGGGGCAGTTTGTGTCTTCTAGACAGAAGCTGGCCTTATGCCCCTCAGCCACTTTGGAACCATTGAGCGTGAGCAGGTCATAATGGGTGAAGACTTCAATGCTGTGGTAGTGCCTGAGGAAGAAGCAGAGCTGTCAGCCCCACGGCGACAGGAGTGGGTCATCTGGAGAGGTTAGCAGGGAAGGTTGAGGCCCCGTCATTACCCGAGGAGGAAAGTCATAATCACAGGGCAGTGCCCTTCCCAAACCCAAGATTAGCGTGCTCACAGACTTCTTTGCTGACAACTCCTGCCTGTCAGGCAGCAAGGCTCAGCTGTCCCCTTTACTCGGAATTTTAATTCAGGTATGTTAAAAAAAAAAAAAAAAAGCACAAACAGCCCCTGGCAGCCTTCAGAAGGTTGGGACTTTGGCTCTAGGATCCAAGGCAGAGGTGGGGTTGGGAGGCGCTGGCCCAGAGATGGCCTCATAGTGAAGAAGATGGGGAGAGAATTTACTCTGCTCCGTCAGCCTGGGACCAAATTGCTGCCATATTTTCCAATCCAGTGGTAATGGCAGCTCTGTGCATGTTACCAGAAAAGGTGCTTATTAACTCAGTCAAGGCCAAGTCCCCAAATCGCTGCCCATTCCTCTCAGCTTTTCCTACACATGGCTATGTCCTGAAAGAAAATAGTACAAATCCCTCCCACTCCACCTCCGTCACAGACATTGCCTCTCCTCTTTCTGGTCTGGAGCTTCCTTATAAGAAAGGATGCTCATCGTCTCCTTTTGTACCAGACTGTTCCCTGCCATTCTTTTGAGGCTTCGCCTTGTTATTACAGAAACCTGCCAATCTCTTCTGCAGAGCAACCATTCTATTCGGAGTCTCCAGGTTTCTGGGGTCCCCATTTTACTTAGCTTCTGAAGACTGGGGCCACCTAAGGTCCAGTATGGGAAATGTGTAACACCATGCTAACAGAGACCAACTGCTGGCAATCACATCTCTTTGTAATATTGCTGTGGGCAATTGGCCCCATGCGTGCCATCCACATGGTTACATCCAAGGAAGGTTGTAAGGGTGTGGGGGCAGGTAGATGTTCCAGGGATTCCCCTTGTCTCCTGGAGTAAGGCTAGCCAGGAGGCTAGAAAAGCAGACTTAACCAGGAATTTACCTGAGGCCAGGGAAAACCTAACTGTTTAGTCCTGGGACTCCATTTTCGTCCCTCACTCTCTAGAGCCAAGTGTGGGCCTGTACCAACCTGTGGCACTGGTGCCAAATCCAGCTGTGGCGACCAGCCTTGGGACGGAAATCGGCCCGGCCAAGGTTGTAGATCTGTGAGGAGAAGCGCAGCAAGCGCCGGTGTCCGTAGGGCCAGTCCATGAGGTCAGCAGACTTTGAGAGGCAGTTTTCCTCATGCGCACAATACAGCATGCTGAGCGGACGGTCCTCCAAGTAGGCCGTCTCTTGTACCAGCTGGGCATTCATCACAAGGTCTGGGGCAGCTGGGCGGTAGGGGGCAAGGTGGGGGGCGCAATGAGAAGGCAGCAGAGCCTGCTCTCCAGCCTGAGCACAGACTCGCCCCCAGACTACCGAAGGAGCACCGGACAAGGGCAACTGAGTCAGGGGATGTGAGTTTTCATGATAGGCAGCTCCGCTGTCATGGTGGAGGTTGCTGGTTTGGAGCCAGCCTTCACCATTCCTGAGTTTCTGACTGTGCTATCATTTACCAGCTCTGTGACTGTTTAATGCTTCTGTGTCTCATGTTTGCCGTCTACAAGGTGGGAATCATATTGGTAATATTAATAGGTACTATCTGTAATGGACGTAGCACATTGTCCTGCAGTAAATAGGAAATGGATGTAAGCTATTATTTCTTTTGTAAAATGCTTTTTTAAAAAAATTGTACAATGTGCTTTCAAGTAGCTTAGTGGGTAAGAGCTTTTCTAAGGCTTTACTGATACCTAACTTGGTTGTTTCAGCCAAGTACTGTCTTTTCCTGGGCCTCAGTCTCTTGGTGGCTCTTGGAGCCAGAGGACCAGATTGGAAAATGAAGGACTTGGTCCTGGAGCCTGCCCTTCAACTGTGCTGTCCAGGCTGCTGCAGTGTGGTCCCATGCTCCCTCTAGTTGGTCCATTCTAGCCTAGCCACTACCACAGGCGTCCCAGGCACCCAGAGTATCTCCAGGGCTGCTCTGCATGCATGAGGCCAACCTGAGGTCAGCAAGATGGCTCAGCCAGTAAAAGTGCATGTCCGGCTACCTGAGTTCAATCCTTATATTCCAAGTGGAGAGAACTGACTCTCAAAAGTTACATGCATCCCGCGCACTCCCCAACAATAACAATAATCTTAGTTTTTTTAAAAAAAAAAATCTGGTGTGCCTAAGTCTCACTAGTCAGCTCAGCCTCTCTCTTCCCCTTTAAGGGGCTCTTGCTTCTGAAGCCTTTATCCTCGCTGGCCTTAAGCATGGAGACTGGTATGTAGTAATCCATTGCTGTATGGCCTTCCTCACAGCTGTGGGGGGTTTAGCTATCTGGACCGAGGCAGCTGGGGGAAAGGCTCTGTGTGGGTAAGAGCCGATGGGAACACTGGCTTGTGTGTCTGGCCTTGCTGGGAGTGTGCTACACTGCATGATGCCTGTTGTGTCGAGAGCGGATGGGACACTGGCTTGTGTGTCAGGCCAGGCTGGGAGTGTGCTATGCTGCATGATGCCTGTTGTGTCACTCAGTATTCATGCACTTGGACTTCCTGTGGCTTCTGTTGGCAAAAGCCAGGATAGGGCCACTGACAGATCTGAGCTCCTGAAGGAAAGGAGAGCATTCAGAGGGAGGGAGGGGAAAACAAAAAAGAGGGAGAAAAGCCGAGAGAGAGAGAGAGAGAGAGAGAGAGAGAGAGAGAGAAAGAGGAGGGGGAGAGAGGGAGGGAGGGACAGGGAGTGATAGAGACAGAGAGAGACAGAGAGGGGGGAGGGATGGAGAGAGAGAGAGAGGAGGTGGGGTGAGTACAAGCTGCTGGTTGGCCACCTGCCCAGCTGTTAGCACCAGATGTGCTCAAGAAGACAGCTGCCCTGGAGGAAAGGGAAAGTCTGAGATTGCCAAGCAGGGGGACTGAGAGCAGGTAACCAGCATGCCATGAGGTCTGGGTGGAGAGGGCACCACTGACATCCTGTCTCCTTCAGGGGAGGGTGAGAAGGGTGGGCCCAGGGTTCTCCCAAGGGCGTGATCACTGACGGGTTAAGATGTCTTAGGGTTGGAGCGTGGCTGGGAGGAAGGTCAAGTGGCCTCCGGGGTTGGTGCCAGCCTGCAGCCTTTGGGCTGGATGTAATTATCTTGGCTCCGGCCGTGTTGGTCAGTGTCAAACAGACGCTGCTACCCTGAGAATCTGGGTCTGTGGGGTGAACTCTTGCCACAAAATAGTCTTGTCCTCGAGCCTGCTGGGTAAATGCCATGGCTTGGCCCTGGGCTCTGGTTTGCCTCCCATTTGCATATCCTCTACAGCGCATTTCAAAGTATTTCCTACAAACAGCAATCGATTCATTTTCTGTTGTAACTCAGCACACACGCAGTTCCTAGAAAAGCCATTCCCCTCACTAAATGGAATGGCGGTGCCTTTCCGGTTCTGTTCCACTCTTCTAAAGCTGTTGTTCACGATCCCCAACTCAGAAGCCCTCTTTTAGTTCCTTGTGCTTTTGTGTTTTTCAATTTTCAGTCTCACAGAGACTTCAAGAGGGAGGTGGGCAGGGCAGGCTTTCAGCTGCACAGCTGGCGAATAGGGAGCTGCTGTGTCCCGTCCCTGTCCCTGTCACCCACCCGTCCCATCACTCACTGTTCATGCAGGCGACCCCTGCTGAGAAGCGTCCTGGGCCATGGGAGCAGTGCACAGGCCCATGCCTCTGACACTGCTGAAGGGCCAGCTCTGTGCCCAAGCAGCGAACCCCGCTCATCACCACCTCCTTGGCCTCTGGTGTTCCCTGCCAGTACCAGGTATCCTAGGAAGACAGCCAGCATCCTTCAATCAGAGCAGAGACGGACTGCCATGTACATCATTCCAGTGCCTCCATCACGCCATCCCCACCAGACAGTCCAGCACAGGCTGTAAAATCTCATGGGCAATCCATGTCACATTTGGACCCTTCTGATATTAAAAGTCTATGTCATTGGGGCAATTCCCTGCTGCCTGTGACACTGCCCTGTCCACCTCCAAGAAGGCAGCACTGCTGCTTGATCAGGACAAGCCAGATCCCTCATTCCTGCATCAGGTAGTGTGCCCCCATTCCCATCTGCTCCTCTCACCCCAACTAGGGGAGAGCCCAGGCCTCTGAGTGAAGTCTGCCCTTGCACCGCCCAGCAGCAGGCCCGTTGGCTATGATGATTTTTGCCCCTGCAACATTTACCCTTACACTATGCAGCCTTCTCTCTGGAGAGCACACTGCATCCCCAGGCCTCTCATTTCCTCAACTGAGTCAAACTTTTGCTGGCCACAGACCTGGCTAACTGTATTCCCCACAGATGAAGACAGACAGCAGGCCATCTGAGCAGGCTTCCCTCAGCTGGGCTCTTACCTATCACAGCATCCCCAACCCTCATAGCTTCACTCAGTGAGTGACCGCTGAATGAAGGAATGGCCAGCAGCTCTGGCAGAGTTTAGTCCTGCTAGCCCGTGGGGCTGAGGCTCTACAGGAGGAGGCAGCGGGAGCCTACCTTGATAGCGAAGTTGGCATATCCCAGGCCAAGCTGTCGGCAGGTAACCATGGCTTCCATGAGCCCCCAGTGGTCACTGCATACAGTCCCCCAGCGTGGGACCCCATTCACCTCCACCTGCACCTCCACCACTCCCTCTTCATGGTTGCGCCCGCCAGCCAAGCGCACCTATAAAAGTCAGAGGTGTTGAAGGGGAGAAGCCAGGATTGCAGACTGGGAGACAGACTTAGCCGCCACCGCCACCCGTCTCCTCTGGTATGAGCTTAGTTCTTTAGCTAGTGTGTGATAGCCCTGCACGCTAAAGAAATCTGACTTGGAGTGCTTGTGGCAGGGGTTTCTGTCCTGGCGCTTGCCTTCCCCCTACCTAATCCTCCCACCATTAGTTGATGACTCTGTTCGCCAAGGGTGTTTGTAACTGCTACTTTGTTGACTGTCACTGCTTTAGAGAGTCAGCACCATTTTCCAAGATGCCAGCAGTTTTGCCCACAGTCCCCAGTGCCACTCCGCAGCGCTGCTTTCAGAGGGCCCTGGCTTAAAGCACCTTCCTTCTCAACTTTGCTCAGGACCTGGGACTGTGAGGCAGTGTGTCTGCCATAAAGTCCCACGTCTCTCTGCCATCCAGGGCAATATATGTGGGGCCAGGTGACGGAAGAGAGTTCTTCAGGCCAGCCCCAAGGGCACTTGGATCACCACAGCAGAAGCAGTAGCTGTTCTGAACCCCTCCCCCTGGCTCCAGGTTGTGCCCTGGGGGCTGCCCAGACCCTGCCTGAGGACATGCTCAGACCTAAACCCACCTGATTTTGAAAGCCCATGTCGGGGATGTTGCACCTAACAGCAGCGTCATTTGTATGTTGACAACCATTCTGGGACCCTTCTAGGGCGAGGCAGTCACTCAGGGCCCGCTCATACCCCCGGCAGCGCACCTCGCTCAGGTGGATGGGTCCTAACCCTGCAGGGAAGAGTGTACTGTGTGAAACTCCTCTAAATCACACCCGTGACTTTTCTGTTCTGGGCCACCAAGACAGCCAGCGGCATATCTGGATCCCCCCTACATACCCCATACCTCCTTGCTCACCTTGGCCCAGCTGGGCCCCAAAAAGGGCCTCCCGGGCAGAGCCAAAGCCAAGCTGACGGCACACGACGCTGGCTGAGATGAGGTTCCACCTGTGGTCACAGACTGTGCCCCACTGGCGGTTCACGAGCACTTCCACACGGCCCTCACCCACCTGAGCCCCAGAGCGCAGGCGCACCTTCAGCTCCTGCTAAAGAGGAGAAAGCCGGCTTCAGGAAGGGCAGCCAGGGGCACTGAGCCACAGGGTGGACTTTGGCGTGGGGCTCCTTCAAGCTTCAAGGCCAGAGCCAAGGCCCAGTTTCTAATCCTGCCTTTGACTTCCCACAATTATCCCTTTTCAGCCTCTGCTTCTTCAGTGACGTGGGAGAGAAGGAGATGGGTTCCCTCTTTTTTTTTTTTTTTTTTGTGATTGGGTTTCTCTGTGTAGCTTTGGCTGTCCTTGAACTCACATAAAGCCGCCTGTCTCTGCCTCCTGAGTGCTGGGATTAATGGAATGTGCCACCACTGCCCGGCTCTCGCCTACTTTTTTTTTTTAACAAAAGGCCAGGCTCAGGTTCAATACCTTCACTTCTGCAGCTACAATTTAATTACAATTTAATTAATTCACAGTTGTCTTCTATCCATGGCAAGTGATGTCAACTTTCCATCTCTGGTGGGATGATAAATGATCTTCTTTTTAAAAAAACCCAAGGTTCTTTAATTCTGTGAACCCAGCTCCTCTCTCCTCTACCCACTGGGCAGGGCACTGCTGAGAAGGATTGCCACCTTCAGGCTGGTCAAGGGTACCCTAGGGCCTACCTCTGCATGGGACTCCTTGCGCCTGGGCTTCGACTTCTGTGGGCGAAAGCGGGGCCCCGGCACACAGCTGACCACAGCGTGCATGCCGCCTGGACAGGCTGGCCGAAGCTTGCCCCTTCCTGGAGCCACCTGTATCTGGCACTTGGCCAAGTGGGGCTCTGTCCCCAGACAGTCAACCCGATGAATCCAGAAGGAGTTCTTCTTTGTCAGGCTATTCAGCCTAGAAGACAAGGAAGTATGAGTGGAGGGCTTGAATGGGAATAAGGGAGCTCAGGGGAGAAGGGGAGAGAAAGAAAAGGGATCAGAGGAGGAGGGGGGGGGGCACTTCATGCCACATGCATGTCTACCCCCTAAAATACCCCTCCTCACCTAGACTTGGGATCCTTCATCTTCAGATTCCAGACTTTTCTGTGGTAGAGAAAACAGATACGGTGGGGGGAGGCGTGCAAGAATCCTCCGCCCCCCACTTGGTTCCTCAGTTCTGAAGTTTATAGCAGACTTCACAGCCCGTAGACTTTCCCCCAGATCTTCTCCTCCCCATCCCTCTTTCTCTCTTTCTTTTCCTCTCTGTTTCTCCCTCTGAAGTCTCCACTGTGGCAGGCTGCCATGGAATAAGCAACTCATTCTTGCCACTCCCAGTTCGCACGAAGGGATCCTTCAGGGGGTCCCTGAGAGAAGAGAGCTGGGAAAGGCCCCTTGAGAACAGTGGCAGTGGAGAGCCTTGTTGGGGGGATTGGGGCAGGGACTGCCATCCAGGCTGTAACCAGGGCTGCTCTGCTGAAGGGCAGTAAGTCAGCAGGGCCTGATTTGCAGTTACCAGGTGGTGGGGAGCCAGGGGCCCATGTCACCATCATCCCCAGGACAGAGTCACGTGGCTGCTCACCATGCTTTTGATGCAGAACCAGGCTGCTCTAAGCCAGAAGCAAGGGACTTGCAATAGCCTAGATGAAGCCTGGCAACCCAATAGGGGTGGGGCAGCTGGATGATTCACAGGCCCCCAGGGGGAGTCCTCTGTCTTGAGAAAGGCTTGAGGGTGTCACTGACCCAGCTGGTAGGACTGGGGTGGTGGGGGTTATTTATGGAGTCGATGTGATCTTCTGTGACAGTTTGGCCACATTTCTGACAGAGTATTTTTATGTCTCCTTTACGCAAACACCCTACCCAGGGCCCTTGCTTATATGCAACCCAGTTATGGTCTGGCTGGAATCAGAGCAGGAGTTCCCGGGACAGCTCAGAGTCCCAGCAAAGGCCATGTCTACCCCAACCAGAGCTAGTTCCTGATGGAGCCAAGACCAGGATACAGTCTGTCTACACTGTAAGGACCTTCAGTAACGTCCTTTTAACTGCAGACACAAAGTTTCCCATTCAATTGTATTCATTGGGTACCACATTCGGTTCTTTCTATTGTTTTGGCAAGTGTGGACTTTACTTTCTGACCACTTCTAGATGATTCTCAGGACCTCGAAGTTCCTTGCTCACTCTTAGCTATCTTGAAGGGTCCATAACTCAGCAAGTCCAGGAGATGTCCTCAGTTGGTGTGTTTTCCTCCAACACGTGAGGACTGCTCTGCCACAGACCTCCACCCCATCCGTGTGGCCCTCCAGAATCTCACTGAACCCTTCAAGGTTCACGCCACGCACACGCAAACACACAGGACCAGCTTGGAAACCCTGCCCCTCCTACCTGTAGTAGTGGTGGTTGACAGGTACCTGGCTGGGAAAGCCCAGCATCCCGCACACAACCCTGCTGTTGTTCATGGTCCAGCCCTGGTCACACACCTGCCTCCAGTGGCCCTCGTATCGCACCTCCACAGCCCCCTCAGTCACAGGGCTGTGCCTTTTGGCACTGGCGAGGATGGGTTTGAGCCGCACCTCTTCCAGCCGCTGGCCCTGCAAGGCATAGAGTCACGTCACCACAGGCCAGGTCCCTAGGGTCCTGTAGGCCCTCTGTAAGCCTCCTGTAGATAGCTGCAGATCTTCCTGAGAAAGCCAGGCTCAGAACCATCTTCCCTCCCCTCATTGTCAGGCCCAGAGAGAGGGAAGCATTTGCTGAAGGCTACAGGGGAAGTGGGAGCCAAAGTCTTGGTTCGTCCAGCTCCTCTCCCTCCTCTTTTCAGATCTATCAAACTGGTGTCAAGACAGGAGCCCTTCGAGGATGGGGGTGTTTGCTGAGCATGGAGGGGTCTTCCCTGTGCCACCCAGACAAGAGCTGAAATGAGCACGAACTGTTGCCTGAGACCATCCTCTGTATCCTGTGGACCCACCACCCTATCCCTGGGTGACTTAAACCAGTGTGGAACCCCCATGGTGGCCCATTGTAGATCCAGTGTGCCAGGGCCAGCTGTCCTCAGGCAGAGGCTGCCTGGCAGCAGAGGGTGGGAGCCTGCTTGCTACCCTGCCCATTACTGTTGTTTGGCTTGGGCTGTTTTTAGCTTGGGGTTGTTTGTGCTGGGAAGAGGCAGCAATTGTGGCCAAGCCTTGTGGGTGAAGCAGCCCCCTTGCCCCACGTCCCTCATGGGGAACAGCTTCTGAGGTTCCCACCAGGCCGAGCGTCTGGTCCCTTGACTGGTTCTTCACTAAGCTGAGGTCAGGATTGCTGCTCAGCCCAGCGCTCTTCATTCCTTCTTCTTCCTCCAGGCTCACCCTGCAGGAGGCTTTCTGCTCTGCCCAGCCCTCAGCTCAGGACAGGACCTGGACAGCCTCCTCACCTGGGGCCCAAGGGCATTGGAGACCTTCTCAGAGTGGTAGCCACGCTGGCGCTGTGGGTGGCATACCACCCCAACATCTTCCGAGTGTCTGCAGTCGCTGACGCCCCAGCCGTTAGATGTGCACTGGTCCAGGGTATTCTCGGTGCCCAAACAATGTACATTGTCCAGCCAGATGGGGCCTGCGGGGGAGGGGAGGGGAGCTCAAGGATGAGGGGAGAGACACCCTTCTCCTGGGTGGGACCCTACACTATCAAATACTGAGGAGCAAGGGAGAAGAAGGGAATTGGTTCTCGGGGCGGGGGGGGCGTCTTAGTATTCACACCCCTGCCCACTGCCTGCTTCCTCTTGGAGTCGGGTCCACAGAAACTGTCTGGATAGTGGTAGGTCGATCTAGTGATCAGACCCACCTGTTCATCTGTCTGTCCTTCTGTCTGTCACTGTCTATAAACACCCACTATATGCAAGTCACTCTGCTCAGAGAAGTTACAGTTAGTGATGGTGATGCTGGTAATCCAAGGGAGACTGGAAAGGTCAGAGCCGAGGTCCTCTGCAGCTCTACTTAGGAAGGCTCTTCAAGAGGACATTTGAACTGAGTGGGCTTCTAGAAAGTTCTGTTGGAGCCTCAGGGAGCCTTGTCCTAAGAGAAAGAAGCTGGCTCCCATCTCTTTGCATCCTGTGGGGCGGTGTCTCCCGTCACTCACCCTCCCCTTGGCCATACTTGGCACTGTGTGCCCAGGTTAAGGCTGACTCAAAACCCAGCTGCCGGCAGGCCACTGTAGCCTCCTGGAGAGCGAAGTCATCGTCACACACAGTGCCCCACTGGCCCTGGTGCAGCACCTCCAGGCGGCCCTCCTCTGGCCTGTTTGCTGGACCCACCAGCCGGAGCTTCTTGGTGCCTGATGACTGTGGCCTGCCAGAAGGGGCTTGGCCTAGCAGCAGCAGCAGGGACAGAGAGAAAGTGACTGGTGGGGGCCACATCATGGTGACTTCAGGGGCACCTGGGGAAGGAACAGACAGTGATCACCACCTCCACCTATCCTCACAGCGTGTAGGCAAGAAGAGGAAAGGCCTGCTCACCAAATGCTGTCCCTGGAGCTTCCACAGTACTCTCAGGCGAGATGCACCTGCCTAGTGATAACACACTTGTCTGCCATCTGATGTTTCTGGCACCCCAAGTTGAGGGTAAAATGCTACTCCTGAACCCACAAAAGGTGCATGGAATGCTGGGGTAGGAAGGAATATTCAGGGGATTCAGGGCTCTTCCATTGCTACCGTGTGGCCTGGCCTAGCCTTTTATTCCAAGGCGAGGAGGCAGAGCCAAATCTCACCTGCTGCCTCCTCTGGTTTGGGTGGCCTGGCCTGACAGCCACAGCCCAGGCTCATGCAGCTGTGTGGCCCATGCATTGTTTACACTTTTGGGAGGAACCTGGCTTGGGGCCACTTATTCAGCCAGGTGTAGGGACATGGAAGTGAAGACATTATATACTCCTCACCTTCACTACACACAGAAGGGGATCTGGGGGAGGCTTTTAAAGAAGAGATGTGTAAGCTGGGCATGGGAGCTCCCACCTATAATCATAGTACCTAAGAGATAAAGGCAGGAAGGTCAAGTGTTCAAGGTCAGCCTCAATTACCTGATGAGTGCAAGACCAGCCTGAACCACATGAGACCCTGTCTCAAAAACCAATGAATAAGAGTTCTCCCAGGCTGGGAAGGGAGCAGTCCAGCTGGAGAGGACAGGGTGGGCAAAAGAAGGAAGCAAGAGTAGAGCAGCAGGTACCCACCTGCCATGCCTGCCTGAGATTTGGAAGGGGAGGGGAGGTGCAGGCAGGTCCCAGATGGTCAGGGGGGTGTGTGCCTCACAGAGCGTGTTCCCTTCATGTTGTAAAAAATGAGGAACCCTGGGAGGGTTCAGGCAGGGACACATACATTAGAGGGAGGGTCAAGCTGCTTCCCTTAGTCCTGGGACTGGAGAGCAGGGCAGGACACAGAGATGAACCATGGCTGAATACAGCTACAAGAGTCTCTGAGGCCCCCACTGCTGACTTTCCTCCACCCTGGCTCTGGAGGTCACTATGGGAGTGGATGGAGAAGACTGACACCCTGCCAATGCTGTGTCTTCTGAATGGTAAACACATACACACACACACACACACACACACACACACACAGAGAGAGAGAGAGAGAGAGAGAGAGAGAGAGAGAGAGAGAGAGAGAGAGGATCTTGCTATTTAGCTAGAGCTGGCCTTGAATTTGGGACCCTCCTGCCTCTGCTTCCCAACTCCCAGGATTACAGATGTGCCAGGTCAGCTGGCCTCTTGGGGATTATCAGTTAGGCCAGGTGTTGAGGCACAGAAGGGAAGACATTAAACACTACTCCTTAGCCTTGCCACACACAGAGCAGGAGGACTGGGAAGGCTTTTAAAGGCAGGACAGGTCAGCCAGGAATGGGAGCATCAGCATGTAATCCCAACACTTGGGAGCTGGAGGCAGGAAGATCCAGAGTTGAAAGTCAGCCTTAGCTACCTGGCAACCCTGCTCATGAGGGAACTCATGAGCCAGAGTAGAGAAGGTCCTGGACCCTGCCACTCCAGTCCCCAAGGATGGCATCCAGCTGTGGTGAGGACTTCCTCTGTATCCCTGGTGCCCAGATGGTGCCAGATGTGAAGATGGCACTCCAAACCATCAATGGTTGCCTGTGTGTGAGATGCCATGGCATGGAGCTTGAGTCTTGAGACAGGAGAGTCAGACTGCCTGAGTTCAAGTTGTCTAGACAACTTTGCACCTCAGTATCCCCTCTCTGTAAGATGGGGGTGACAACATCTACAATAAGTCAAATACAATGACAACAGTCAATAAGACTGCTCACTGGACGGACCCACACTGGTCTCTTAGAAGAGGAACTCGCAGCAGTAAGCTATCAATAGCACCATGGCAGCTTGAAAGAACCGCTGATCTCCACTGTCCAAGTGTGGTCCCTAGACTCACCCCTGTCCTTTCCCTTACACCATGAAGTCAGACTCCCCCTGTCCCATCTGCCCACTGAGGCTGGGCCCCTGCCATCGTCCACTGGCCCTGCTGCACTTTCTTCCAGATGCCAACACTGGCCTAGTGCCACTGCAACTCAAGGGCCCAGGGGGCTGCTAGCTGACAGCCAGCAGAATGCTCTCTGCTGCTTCCACGTGTGCCCCTTTCCTCCTGCTCGCTCCTCTGAGGAGGTGGGCACCAAGGTTTGAGCCACACCAAAGTCACCCCAGACAGAGAGCATTCCCTCCCCCAAGGAACAAGAGGGGATGAGAAGCTCTGGTCTGGCAGCCTGGGGCCACTGGGTCTGAGCTGAGAGGCGGCTGCTCTCCCCGACAGGAAGCAGAGAACTAACTGCCATCAATGGCAAGGGTCCAGGTGTCTCGGTTTGCACACCTGTAAGAGGAGCAGTGGTCCTAGGGTGTAACATGTTATTGGGGGTCTCCGATGGGCTGAGCTGTTCTGTTTTGGGGCTTGTGGCTAAGGTCCACACAGCATGGAGGAGGTCTCCTCAGAAGGCATGAGACAGGGATCTTCTGCAGCAAGAGCCTGGGCTCTAAGCCAGGGCAGTGCTCTTCTGTTCAAGCTACCAGGAGGCAGACCCTGGGAGGGGTCCGCCCCCCATATTTCCCACCCACTCCGGGATCCCGTAACTGTTACTCACGCCAAACTCTTCTCGTCATCCCCCCCCCGCAAAGAGCCTTCATCTCCAAGAGCTCAAGATTTTGCGCCTGTTGCTCATTCTACTCAGATTGTTAAACTCCTACACACACTTCGACACCCAGTTCAAATGCTACCCTGTCCAATAAGGCCTCCCAGTATCTACAGAACTGAGTGCAGAAGGAGGGCAGGCTGAGAATTAGCCCTTGGAGAAGGAAGCAGTCTCTTTTCCCAAAGGAAAAAGGGAATGAGCGGGGGAGGGAGCTGGGAGATAGAATAGGAATGCCCGTTAGAAGCATGTCAGAGTAGGCATCTTAATTTCACAGATGGAAAGGTAAGGCACAGAGAAATGAAATAGCCGGACTGGCCAGGAGTCAAACAGGCCACCTGGCTCCAGGCTGGACTCTCAAAACGGCAGAGTGAGGGATGCTGGATCAGGGAGGGAGAGACAAGGTGACTGGAGCGCCACCTTTTGCTGGTCAGGGCTCTGGTGTAGGCACCAGTCCTGCCTGCTGCCCAGGGGCAGATCCAAGACCCTGGCAGGCCCGGGCTGAGCACCTGTGCTGGTAGAGAGAGCTGGCAAAGGGCGATTGCCTGAAAGAGGAGCACAAGAACGTGGGGGAAGCTGTCTTGGAGCCCCAGCTGTCGGTCACTTCTACTCCTTTCTCTGCAGCTCTCTGGGACCTGCTCTGGGCTCTGCACCCTGGCGGCATCATTGTCGTGGGTAAAGCAGAGCCTAAAAATGGGCCTCCACCTGTATAGGGTTGGGGAAGGTGGGGCTTGAAACCTTCTGCTTACATTCCCTCTTTCACCTCGTCTCCCGCAGTCAGTTCTGGGTAGGTAATTGGGGAGCCCAGCTCTGCCCTGGTGCTTAGTACCCCAAGTCACAGGAGTGACATCTGGTTCTATACAGGTTTTACCCTGTCCCTAGCATTCTTGCAGGGTGAGAAATGATTACACAAGTGTGTTCACAAACCTAGCACACAGATTCCCTCGGGCCAGGGCGCACCACCCATGTAGCCTTGGACTGACTCCCCCAACTTGGGCACTTGTCTAGTGGAGAAGCAGGTGGTGACCCGGGGGCTAGGCCGACATGTCCATGGGGTCCCTCATCCCTCATAGTCCCTCGGAACCCTTAGAGGCCTGCCCACCCGCGAGAGACAGAAGGACAGACAGCAAGAGGCAAGCCGGAGGAGGAATCCCGTCAAGTTGGAGCTCACCGGCTGGGTCCGGAGGTTGGGGCTGGGCCGGCGCCGCAGCCAAGCAGCGCTAACGGGCCTCTCTCGGGGCGCCCTGGGGGCTTTTATCCGCCAGTCTCCCGCCCCCAGTCGGGGCCTTCCCCGGGGAGGCCGCTGGCCCCGCCCCGGGCGCGCCTGTCTGCACGGGCGCCCCGCCCGGCCGGCCAACAGCCAGGCAAGCAGTTCGGGACAGGGCCAAGCCGGGAAGTCCCGGGCGCTGTGGGGAGCACAGGGGGTTGATAGAGTCCCGGGAGAGGTGCGATGGGGGCGAGGATCTGGTCTGCGAGTCCCGTTGCACGCGCGGTTTCCTCCTTTGTCTCATATGAGATCAAGAGTGTGTCCCTTTGACCTCGTGGCACTGAGCTCCCCACAGCTTTAGGTCTGGATCCCGTGGGCTGCTTATGCTGGACAATGCAGGTGCCCCTTTGGGGTGAGCTCCCTGTTTCGGTGAGTGATAGGATACTGCTGCTTGAGTAACGGGGTAGCCGCTCTGTGACCTGAATGCAGGTTCACTGAATGCAGCCTGAGAGGTGCTCTGCTCACTGTGAGACAGGAGACAGGACTTGCTTCCCAGAGTCATAAGCCACACTGGGGACAACTTAAGACTTGGTCCTTGTCAGGCTAAGGGGTCGGGGGATGGAGGGGCAATGGTGGATAGTGAGGAGAGAGGCTATGGAATATAACACATGAAGGAAGGCCTGAGACATGGAGCCCCTAGCTGAAGTAACTCCCCGGCTCCAGGCCTCAGACTACCCAGTCTCGGTCCTGTCCACTCCTTCAGGATCTCACTTGTGAAATGGACAGAAGTGTTCAGCTTCTTCTCACCTAGTCCCAGAGCAGTGTGGCTTGTCTCCCACCTCTGGCCTTACCAGGTGTCCCTGTAAGGGCTCCTTCATTCAGGACCTTCTGTTGATTTTCTCCTATGTGCTAGAAAGGGGCTGTGATGCTAGACACTGGCAGGGGGCTGCCCCAGTCTGGAGAGGGAGGATATACAAAGAAACATGATCTCAAGGCAGGAGGTAATGAGAGCCAGGATGACACTTATCGGCCAGGTCACCGTTACCCTGTTGCCAGAGACCTGGGTCCACCCCTGGCTGCTCATGTCTAAGATGTCCCCCCAGTGGCCCTGCCCCACCCGACCTGGACCCAAAACATTCCCTGGGATGAATCAACAGGAAAGAATGCTCCCAGCCCCGGTCAGTGGCAGAGACAGCAACCTGGCTCCTCCCACAGGGACAATGAGGCAGCTGTGGACCAGGATACCAGGTATGCCTGGGCCTCCGCCCTCCACCCAGCCACCTCTAATGCTGAGCCAGGAGCAACACGGAGGCTCCGCCTGCTGCCAGTCACCCACCAGGCAGGCCTGGCTGCCCAGAGCTAAAAATACCTTGGAGCCCAATGAATGAATTGATGTCCTCCGGAAGTCCTTACTTTGTAAGACTGGGCAGAGGCGTGATGGGCAGTGGATGAGGGGGCTCCCCTGAGAAGTGAGGATACCAGCCTAGGCTTAATTGTAGAGGGATTTTCCCAAGGAACCATACCCTCATTCTTTACTTCCTTTCTGAGACAGGGCTTCTCTGTACAGCCCTGGCTGTCCTGGCACTTAGTCTGTAGATCAGGCTGGCCTCAAACTCAGAGATCTGCCTGCCTCTGCTTGGGATAAAAGGCGTGCACCCCCACTGCCCAGACTTATACCCTCAATCTTAAGTACCATTTTGTGAGGGTCGAAAGGGAGAACTCAGTTCATCTCTGCTAGCTGTGATTGGATTGAAATGCTGGAATTTAACTGGGCCTGCAGTGTCCTCCTTCCCGCCTGGCTGGACTCCCAGGCCCTCAGCCCAGAGTCTGTGACCCCCACCATACTCTTCAAGGCCAAGCCTGTGTCTGCCTTGCCTCTGCAGCTCTTTGACCTTCTTGTTTATCCTAACCCAGAGTCTTTTACCAGGCCTGCCATACAGCAGACACTCAGTCATTACTCACAGATGGAATATATGGTCCTAGGGGTCAGGGGTCCCCAGACTGGTCCTGGGAAGACACAGACAAGCTCCCTGTGGTCCTGTCCTCCTCTTAGTGAGTTTGTAGAGTAGGGATACATTCAACCAACCAGTCAGGAGAGGCCCCTGCCGGGATCTCTGCAACAACAGGAAGGTTGGGGGACAGTTGCTCTGAGTTCCCTCTCATTCAGTCCTCTCAAAAAACTCCGTGCATCATAGTCTCGCGATTTTAATAACAGATATTAAGATGCAGCAGAGGGAGAGGTTATACGACACGGTCAAAGCCACACAGTTATCATCTCCAGAGGGTTCCTGCAGTGAACTGAAGTAGAAACACAGGGCTGAGAGGGTGAGGGGAGACACAGATTCACCCGAAAAGCACCTGTGCCTTGAAGCTATAACCTGGGTGGGGAGAGTGAGAAGTAGGGTGTTATGGTTAGTGCTGACTGTTGACGTGACAGGAGCCAGGCTCACTGAGGAGACTAACCTCTGGCCTGTCTAGAAAGGACTTTCTACATGGGGCTGGTTAATGAGGTGAAAGACCTGCACTAGCTGTGGGGGGGGGGGGGGCACTGTCCCAAGAACTGGGGTCCTGAACAGAATCCAAAGGAGAACGTGAGCTAGACATCGGCACAATCACTCTGCGTCCTGGCTGCAAAGGCAGCCTAATCATCTACTTCCTGCCCCTGCTGCCGCGCCTTCCCTGCTAGGAAGGGCTGTATCCTCAAACTGTGAGGAAAGTAGAAACCCTTGCGTTTTGTCACAGACAAGAGAAAGGAACTAATACCTGGGTGATCCGAAAAAAACAAAAACTCCTCTCAGTGTGCTTGAGGCTGTGGTGTGTTGCACGTACCAGCCAGTTTCAGTTCCAGCTCTGATAGCTGTGTGATTCCTGGAAGGCACTTCCTCCTGCATCCGTCTATCCCTTCATGTCCCTCCTTGGCATCCCTGTCACTGACATCATGCCCTCGCCAGTGTGCTCTGGTAACAGCCCGGAACCTGCTTTCCTTCTCCCACTCCCCACACCCCGTTCTGTCCCCGGCTTCACTATACCTCATACAGACTGACCTGTGTCAAGAGCTGACAGCCCCCTCCTCTGCCCTCCTACTACCTCTGCTCGGAGCGCCTTGACATCATTTTCCCTGCTCTTCCTACCCCGGCTTAACTAGGTTTCTAACTACGCCACAGGTTCTTCCGTTAGAGCTTCTTACATGGATGGTCCCAGAGTGAAAGGTGCGGGAAAACAACCAAACCAAGCCACACCATGAGCTGAACCAGAGTCTGTGCCCTCAAGGAGCTCATGACTCAAGGGCAGAGACAGCTGTGAAGAAGACAGACTCTGATCATGGAGAGTGGGATGAATGAGGGAGCACAAACCAGCAAGGTGGGCTTTTTCCCTCGGTGGGAAATGTTTAGCAGGCACAGCTATGGGATTCGGGGGGTGGGGGGAACTTTTCGGAGGAGGTTGGGTTGGTACTGTGAAGAAAGGGAAACCTAGCAGGGAGGATGAATGGCCCAGGAGATGGATGGGGAGAGAGAAGGGATAAGCTGGCTGCAAGGAGAAGAAATCATGGACAAGACAGCAATTTGTGCGACACCCCTTCCTTTGGGAAAATTAATGAGTCAGACAGGCTCCCTCAACATCCACAGGGACCCAGGGTAAGAATCAGAGAGGCCTCATCCCATACATACACCTACGTGTTTACAGGTTATAAATCAGTCTGATTGCTAAATAAATCATGGGCTACCTTCCAATCCTGATGTGCACATGCATATCTTTAGGGAAACCTACCAGGTTGGGGTTCAGAACTTTCCAGTCCTTACAGTTCTGAGTGGAACCTGTTATTATGGAACCTCTTCTAGCTGTGGGTCCCCATGTATCCAGTCCATCTTCTACCTTTTCTCCATCCCACAACAAGGAGCCTTCGGCTGTCCTGGCTCCCTAAGCGGTGTAGATCTCGGCACACTGCTGTCTTGTGCCACGCCCAGTGCACACCTCAGAGGCATCGGGTCGTTCAGGTTCAGCTTTGGGGCTAGAAAGGAGAAGAAGATTCCCCCGGGGAGGACAGTGAAGTCGTGATCCGGGTTGAAGTTGAAGATACCCAACAGAGAAGGTGGAAGAGTGAGAGAGTACCCTAAGGACCAGATACACAGGACAGAGACAGGAACATCCTGGGCTGAGAGCCGTGAGGGTCCAGCCCCAGAGTAAGGTGGGAACTGACCTTCTCAGCAGTGTGTGTGTGTGTGTGTGTGTGTGTGTGTGTGTGTGCGTGGCGTGTTTTAAGAACCTGGATCTTGTTTAGCATGGACCGGGGTGGGATCCAATTCCTCGTGTTCACACTGTGGGCTGGGGCTGGGGCTGGGGCTGGGGCTGGGGTGGAGGGACAGTGAGGAGTTTTCCAAGCAGCGAAGGTGCCGAAGGCAGGATTCAGACTCCCACCTGCATGTCTGCCTCTATACCTGAAGAACCCCAAGCTCCCACAGATGTTTAGACCTTCAGTTCTACTTGCTACCAACAGCTTAATGCTCACCTGTTCCCCAGATCCCCTTACCTGCCCCTGTGGCAAGAAGCATGTTCTCACTTCACCACTCCCAGCTGACTCCTCCTCACCTGGGGAAGGTTGAAGTCACTGCCACCCCCTCTGCCATTCCCCTCTTTACCTCTAGATCACTCTAGAACTCATCTTCTTTCTCTTCCTCTTAGCCACAGACCCCCTCAAGCTTCTCTTGAAGGCCTTTCCAGCTCCTTCAGAAACATATCCCACTCCTGTCCCCAGATCCAGGGTCATCTGAAACCCTATGATTCTCTGTCCCAGCAGCTAAATGTAGGCACAGAACAGTGCCTGGGCATGCTTCTGCTCAGGTAAATTAAAGCCATACATTCTGAGGGGAAATGAGACTGAACGAAGACAGTGCCGGAGCCTGGAAGCCCCTGAGGTCCCTTCCTGAGTTCACCATATCTACACTGCCCTTTTTACCCACCAGTAATTGAGACCCTTTTTCCTCACATGGCACCAAACAAGTTAAATTAAAAGACATTTCTTATTCTATGATGTTTTCCTGGATCTTTCACAGCAACACAAATAATAATTGGGTTTCTTCTTCTAGTCT